AAAAAAAAAAAAAAAAAAAAAAAAGAACCTGCTGACCTTGAGGAGAGTATCTCAAGGCAATACGACAAATTTTCACGGGTCCAAGTAAAACAATAATTCACTCTATTGTTTCTATCCTCTGAGTAATAAATACTAGACACTACTGCTTCCATGGTGTGTTTGGAGATTATTTCCAGAATTGAGCAGATTTTCAACATGCAACGTCTTCAACCAAAATAATTAAAATGCATACAAATATGAGTTATAGTCCCTGGATCTCTTCTAATATCTACATTTCTAACTATGGCATTACTATTGTTTAAAGGAAAAATGGGATGTGTATTTAAATTTCAGCTGGAAGGATATGAGGAAAGAATAAGATGAACCACGTTACAAATATCCAAAAAATGGAACTTAGCAGGAAGACTGTTGGTAAGTAGATGAGACTCTTATACCCGACCAAGAACCTAAAAGAAAAAAGGATAAACATACGGTATTAGTAAAAACAGGTATGGTTCATATTAATTTTAGCTCTAAATCCCCTTAAATAATAACAGTAATAATAACGATTCCCTTAAGTAACAACAATAACAGCTTTCAGTACCGAGTGCTTCCAATGTGCCACTTTCCACATAGTAATTAAGAGTTTGTGGGGCGCCTGAGTGGCTCAAATGGTGAAGCTCAAATGGATAAGCATGGTTAATGCTACCACGACCTGCTACCGACTCTTGATTTCAGCTCAGGCCATGTCAAGGTTCGTGAGATCGAGCCCCACATTGGGCTTTGCACTGGCAGCACAGAGCCTGCTTGGGATTCTCTCTCTCTCTCTCTCTCTATCTCTCTCTCTCTCTCCTAGCTTGCCCTCCCCCACTCAAGCTCTTTCTCTCTCAAAATAAATAAACATTTAAAAAAGTATTAAAAAAACAAGAGTTCGCCACCATCTCAACCCCACTGTACCCATGAGAAAAGTAAAGCACCCAAGAAATGCATGTTCCAGTCCTTAAAACTAACTTCTACATTATTTCATTGCCAATAACTTTCTATTTGCAGTGAATCTTTATTTCTATTGAAAAATATCACATTTGTAGTTCTCTTTTTGGCATATCATATTTTCAAATATTCCAAAATGCAAAAATTTTAAATACTTCAGAGATTCACCTTCACATTTAACAAGCTTTCTTCTGGAGGCTAGCAGTATATTTTTAAACCATAACAGATGCACACGACCTTAAGCAGCTTTATCCCACAACCAGCTTGAGAAGCGGACACTGAACATAAAAAGAAGAAATAAAGGCTGAAAGTGGCCTTAGTCATCAAACACTAACCCTCTCGCTTGGGTAACGAGCAACGTGAAAGTGTGCACAGAACTTACTCAAATGTTAATACTGTAGCTTCAAAAAAAAAAAAAAAAATCTGTCTTTCATGTTAAATACTCAATAGAGTAAATCCATGCAGGAATATGGTTTACCTGGATCTATTTTAAAATTTATACCAGGAAAAAATAATGGTTGATGATGGGTAAGAAAGGGATTCTTTAAAAGCTATCAAGATCAGAAGTGTAATTATGATAAAATATTTGAGAAAAACTGAAGGTTCCAAGCCTTGGGCACATAATACGCGACCAGAACAGGCCAAATAGAGCCCACATAACGTCCACAGCATGACCTGCCTGAGATTAGGCAGCGCAGATGTGTCTGAATGAATTAAGCAGTGCAGTGCACTACCTAATTTGTAAGCGTCTGCTACCATGACCTGTGTGCTTTGAACAGGCATCACGTAGCAGCCTGGATCAATAGGCAACTGCGCCTGGAGCTTAAAGAAGAGTAGAAGTTTGCAGCTGCCTACCTCCATGAGACGCGGTCTCTACAGAAGGGTATGAAATAAAAGCAGTATGGATAAAGCTGCCATATGCATTTGTGTCCCATTTGAATCGTGTCCATATGCCAAGTCTAGCATACAAAGCCCTCCACTCACTGTCAGCAAAAATAAAAGTTTCCTATAAACTTTTGTACAATGTTGGTTTCTAGTGAAACAAAATCTCAAATGCTCCTATCCTAGGTGAGTAGATACTGTCAGCTCTTGCTTTCTCTCTGAAAGAGAAAACACAAAAACCCCAAAGTGATCATTGCGATTTCTGGTGATTTGGCTTAAAATTTCTTTGGCAACCAACTCACAATCTACTTAGTGGAAAATGTATAAATATCTCTCAGTTATAAGTTTTCTGTACAGCAGACAATTTTAGGCATTTTGTTATTTTTCAGAAATATAAGTTTTTACTTTACACTTATATTCTAATTCATTTCCAACCGTCTTGCTCTTGAGTGACCAAGAGGTAAGATTCCTCTAATATTTTGTTTTTCCTTATTATTCAAGCAGCTCATGCTTATTCCAGAAAATGCTGGCAAGCAAAAAAAGGCATAGGAATACTCAACATCACACCCTGAAGAGAGATCCTTTTAGATCCTTTTCTACGGATCATCATCATACTTTACATTTTTCTTTCATTCAGTAAATGAAAGTTTACATTTACTGAAAATTGAAAAGAGAAACATTTCCTGCTTGCATGGGCCTTAACACTCCAGGTAACAGTGAGTAAGTGCCATGAAGAAAATCAAACAGGGTGATGCAGAGTTATTCAGGGATGGCCTAAGGAGGTGACACTGGTCCTGAGGCCTGAATGGCTGTGTCTCCTGCTCTAAAACGATACGGTATCAGAACACTTCGGACAAAGACCTAAGCAAGAGTCAAGGCCCAGGAGCGACATGAGCTCAATGTGCTTTAGAAACAGAAAGAGGGCAGAAGAGCAGAGAAGGGAAGAGAGGAAAGAGATGAAGTCCAAAGGGAGAGATCGAATCACATGACACCTCACAGGCAAGGAGTTTGGATTTTATTTTGAAGACGCAGAAAAGTCAGTGGAAGCCATTAAGCAGAGAGAAAAAAAGGAAACTGTTTGCCTTTTAAAAAGACCACCCTGATTGCTAAGTGGGGATGAACTATAAATCAGGGATAAGAGCTGACCAACTGGAGAAAGAACAGGAAGGACGTGGTGATGAGCTGGATGTGGGAAGGGAAGAATGGAACACAACAGTAATCCAAGGATGACAGTCGTTATTCACACGGGGAACTGGATGCCATTTTACTGAAAGCAGGAAGAGACCGGGGTGTGGTATGACTGCTGGGTACTGTGTGTCAGCCATGGTTCCAGCCATTGTACATGTCTTAACGATAAAGCAGGCATTGTCACAACTATTATCCTCATTTTTATAGATGAAAAAAGTGAGGCACAGAGAGGTAAAGCAACTTGCTAAAGGTCAGACTGCTGTGTGGTAAAGCCTGACTTGAATCCAGGCAACGTGACCCTTAACCATGACTAAATACAATCATGTATATTTTCCTAAAAATAGAGCCATCCCACAGTTACCATTTTATAATTTCCTACATTTCAGTTAGGTCGTTTCAACTAAAAAACCTTAAAAGCAAAAATAACGAGCTTAAAATGAATTCAGATCAAGGAAAAAACACAATTTCTGAAAAGTGGGCAAAAGTGCTTCAAGATGCAAAACACTTACAAAAATCTCATTATTTACCAAAATCAACCATTCAAAAAGTGAGCTAGGGTCTTTATTTCCTACCAGTTGCCAATTCAATCAAACTACTGGGTTGACCAATCTGCTTTTAGCCAAATCATATGCTACCAAAGCCCTTCCCTCCCACCACCCCTGAAGACGTTTCTATGTGGTAAATAACATTCAGAGCTCAGTAAAAACTGCGATTTCAGCTAATTAACAGAAATAAACAATCACACGGAAATGCAATAACCAGCCTTGCAAAGACTAATATACACACCTTGGAAGCAAAGATGTCAGAAAAAACAATGTTATTAGAAGACATCCTTTTAAAAGCCAAGAATCTGAATTGAAGTCCAGTATGTATCCAACAGCCCACATGGTAATCACAGAAAGCATCAGCAGCAGGAAGAGCTATTAAGAGATTCAGAATTTTAGAACCTTATGGATTTCACCTCCTAAGTATCTAATAATGATTAGTACCACAGAAGAACTTCTTCTGAAATATATAACTATTAATACAACAGCAGAACACAGTTGTTCTTCAAAATTGCTGATTAGTAAATGTGAAGTCTGAGAAAATTACCAATCTTGGAAACAATCCTTTAAAAACCTTAGATTTTATAATATATTGCCTAAACATGTTTTCTTGTGCTTTCTTCCCCTCCAAGAAACAGGGGTCTTTCAGAGGAGTGCTAATGAGAGCTGACATTTTTAAAAATAATTTCTTTCAAACAGTATTGTAGGTCAGAAAGCACAAAGCAAAACAAAGGGACCACACAAAAATCAGGACACCCAAGGCTCAAGGTGGAGAGTGCAGCAGTTCCAGCCTGGACACTAGATGGTGCCATCCCTTAATAAAGGTCAGAGGGAACAAGTCTGCAGAAAAGACAACAGTTGGAGGCATGTGGAATTTCAGATGCCTATGGGGAGATGGCCAGGACGCAGTCAGAAAAGCGGTCGACCACCCAGGAGAAAACTTTGTATTCATCAGTATATAATCTGGAAAGCCATGAACCAATAACATCCCAAGGACTGTGTGCAAGGTAGAAAGGGGCAGAATCTTCGCCAACACAAACGCTGAAGGGGAAAAAAGCTAAGTTGTCAAAGGTAATGAAGAGTGACTGGTGTGACCAGAAAGGCAGGACGTGAACACAGGAGAAAGGTCCCAGCAAAGCCAAGGAAGATTCAAGTTTCAAGAAAGGAGTAATTCTCAGTTGTCAAATGTCACACGGAGGCCAAAGACTGAAACATGTCCTTGGGATGCTAATCATTTAGGTTTATGCCGGCAAAGTGAAAAGAACGAAATGTCTATGAACCAACAGTGTGACTGTCTGTACTGAAGCCAGGCACCACATTTCTGCAATGCAGTCCCTTAACTGCGATATACATGACCTTGGAAGCCAGTAAGGCTTTTGCAACGGCAAAGGGAAAAAATATATTCTGCCCTATTTTCTTCCACTTTTATTTCTCTAAGTGTTCTGAGGATGAATACTTTCAAATGCTATCAAATCTTTTAAAGTCCTATATCAGTTAAATGTCTGACTCTTGGTTTCAGCTCAGGTCATGATCTCACAGTTCGTGAGTTTGAGCCCCGTGTCGGGCTCTGGGCAGACGGTGCGGAGCCTGTTTGGGATTCTCTCTACCCCTCTCTCTATGACCCCTCTCACCCCGGCTCATGCTGTCTCTGTCTCCCTCAAAATAAATAAACTTTAAAAAAATATATAAAAATTAAAAAAAATAAAATCCTAAATCTAATTTGCAAGGTAATCAAGTTTAGATTTTTTTTAAAGGTAGTAAACTTAGAATCTATGAGCAACATAATCTCAGAACAGAAATAAGAATTAAATATGGATTTCAAATTTTTTCTTTCTTTTTAATTTGAGAAAGAGAGAAAGAGAGAGAGCACACAAGTGGGGAAGAAGGGCAAAGGGAGAGAGAGAATCCCAAGCAGGATCCATGCCCACTGCAGAGCCCAACACAGGGCTTGATCCCATGACCCTGGGATCATGACCTGAGCTGAAATGAAGAGTCAGACGCTCAACCAACTGAGCCACCCAGGAGCCCCTGGATCTCAAAGTTCAATCCCAGATATAACACTCATAAATGAGCCACACTATTTACTCACTCAATAAATATTCCATTGTACACTATATGCTGCAGCACTGTTCTAAGCACTTGGGACACATCATGAATTTAAGGTTTTTCTCTCATGGAGCTTAAATTCTAGCAGAAGATGACAGCCAAATGTATTAGGTGGTTTAATAGCATATAAACAGCTGGATCACACAAGGCCTCGTAAGTCACTGAAAGGACTTGGGCTTTTATTCTAGGAGAAAGGGGGAGACATCACAGGATTCTGAGCAGATGAATGACAGGATCTGACCTACATTTTAAAAGATTCATCAGTGGATGCCTGGGTGGCTCAGTCAGTTGAGCATCCAACTTCAGTTCAGGCCATGATCTCACAGTTTACACTGCATCGGGGCCTCTGCTGTCAGCACAGAGCCCACTTCAGATCTTCTCTCTCCCTCTCTCTCTGCCCCTTCCCCTGCCTCAAAAATAAGTTAAAAAAAAAAAAAAAAAAGATTCACCTGGCTGCTCAGCTGGGAATGGACTAGAGGTGAGTGGGAGCAGGGGGATGACAGACAACTGCAGTAAGCCGCAGGAAAGACACTGGAGGCTGGACCAAAATGCCATTGGTGGAACAGTGAGAAGAGGTCAGATTCTGGATATATACTGAGGGCAGAATTAGCCAATGTGTTTTCCTAGTGGACTGGATACATGGCATGACAGAGAAAAGACAAAAATGACTGAAGACTGGAGTTGCCACCTACTGAGAAGGAACAGGCTGTAGATGGAGTAGTTGGGGTGGGGTGGGAAAAAGATCAGGAGTTCAGTTTTGGATATGTATATTGGAGATATCTATAAGACACTGAACTGGATAAATCAAGTAGGTAATTCGATATAGGAGTCTGGAAAGATCTGGACTGAAGATAACTTTGGGAGCTGTCAATACACACACGGCATTTAACGCCATGGAGGTGCATGAAATCACCAAAAGAGGTCCAAGAACAAAATCTTGGGTCACCCTACCAATAAGGGTAGGGGAGAAGCAGAGGAGCTGGCAAAGGATACTGAGGAGTAGCAGTTACTTCTTCCTCTCTCCCTCTACACGCCTGAATGCAAAATAGATGCAGTATTCATAATGAACCGCTGCAGAGAAATCTGGGCTCTGTGAATTTAGAATCATTCTGAGAGTATAATTACTAATCATCATTAGAAAAGATGATGCCGTCTTTCATATCTGAAAACATTAAAAACAGAATCAGTTCAACACCCCATTTTAACAATTTGAATTATGACTAATACGACACTACTAGGGCTAGATTTTTATGAGAATAAGCTGAACTTCTTAACTTTCCCCATCGGTTTAACTGTTAAGTTCAGGAGGACATCACTCAGAAGAACTGCCAAGTTGAACAAAGCATAAAACTGGGGGTCATCTCTTGAAATTCTAGATGTTTTCATTTTGTGAAGTCTGCTAACTCCTCATGATTCTAACAAAACATTGAATGCTACTGTTTGCCCCTTGAAAAAGATTTTCAGTAAAAACAAATTTTCCTCTTGCTACTCTAAGAATTTAAACCATCTGTTTCAATTCATTCATTAAGTAAATGTGGAAGTCTGCTATGATATTCACAAGATAACATGTAGCTTTAGAGCCATCTAGCTGAGGACCAATAGTAAATTGCCAGTGAAAGTGCCACACTTCCAACTCTGGGCTATGGGACACATGGGGCAGATGTGACCAGTGGATATAATGCAGCCCTAAGCCAACTCCCTGGTTTCATCCTGGTTTCCTCCCTGATTTGCCTTAAAAACAGAAACACAAATGAATAAAACGGTTCTTATGGCCCACAGAACAAGACCCATATGAAAATACCTCGCATTTCTGCAGCCACCTCCAGAGTCTGAACTTTTTGTTAGCTCTCATTTTGGCTTCTGTTTTTAGCATGTGAATAATGAGCCTATTTTTGTTTTGTAGAGCCATATCAAGAGGTGTTTCGCCCTTAAAAAAAAAAAGAGAGAGAGAGAGAGAAAGTTCAATTATATTTTTGATAGAGTATGGGTGTTAAACATTGTACAAGAAATCAGCAGAATCATAGACTCAGTGTATTCATTCTGGAAGTAGTCAGTTACTGTCATTGGTTATTTATCTTGTGGTAATTGAAAAATATATGTATAGCTTATGTTTATGTTGATGTACTAATTTTCTAACTGAATATATAATAAACTAAAGGAGATAAATACCTGGTCATACCTTAACATTTCGGATGTCCAGGCTAGAGCCGGCTTCCAAAAGTTTATCTACAGCATTAACATTTCCCGCTGCAACTGCCCAGTGGAGTGGAGTGTTTTGGTGTATTTTATCAACCACACTGAGAGAAGGATTAAACTTTAAAAGAAATCCAGTTGGTTCTGGCCTGTCTCAAAACAATAAAATACCAAGGAGTATTAGAGAGATGAATGATTTGAAAGGTAAATGCAAATAATGAATCTTAAGCTAACATATAAATTAACCACTCAGTTAAGTATTCTGAAGATCGAGAAACTTCTTTGTGCAGAGTTCTATTCCAGGGGCTAATAGGAGAGATGCACCTCCAAAAAAAGACATCTATTATGTGATAGTCAGCAATACAAATACGATAATTTCAACATCAATATGCTGGAATAACTGCTTTTGTTTTTCAAACTTTTACTTTCATGTAGTTATTGTATCGCTTACCTTTTTTTTTTTATTGTGAATTTAACTTGGGCCAATGCTATGTTATTTATCTAATTAAAAACTAAATGTACACAACACTATATTTGAGGAGATAAACCAAAAGCTGACTTCCATGCTTCCTTTAACCAATTATTAAATAAAGCAGGCATAAATAATGTCCTAAAACATTCATTTATCTTAGAAACCTATGGACTAAAAGGCAGAGTTCAATAAAATATTTTTACTTTACCATAAATACCTTCTCTTCCTTCATGACTACTCAAGAGATTCTTTTAATAAAGCAGTATTCTATTTTACTTATTCTATCAACATCTTTAAACACTATTATCTGACCTCAGAGTTGTCAGCGAAAAAGACAAAATGCTTTTTAACAAAATTCAACCCTCAGCCCCAGCACTCCATGATCAAAAGGAAATGGCATCACAACTACCTTGGATCCTAGGAGAGAAATCCTAAGTAAAAGTAGAATCAGAAATTAAGCACAACACAAATTCATAAAGGCAAAACTGTAGCAAGTATTTGAACAGAATACCAGAAGTTAGACTACATGGTGGCCATTAATCACATGTGTTTATAAACAAACAGAAAAACTTAAACATGTAAGTACCTGATAGAAACATATAAACAGACCATACTCATATTCATAGATATTCAAAATCTGCTATTTTCAGAGCAGTCAACAATGTCAGAGAACCTTAAAACATACTGTTGTCTGGAAAGAAGATTTTATCATCTCGATTTCAAACTTGGAGAACATTTAAACCTGTAGTCATTTTTTTAAAAAATGCAAACTGAGAAATATAAGCCATGTTCACAGCATATACTATAAAATCTCTACCTGCTCTAAAAGGAAAATTTTTTCTTATTAGCAGTTTTCAAATTGTTCCCCAAAGCTATCAGAAGAGAAATTTTATTTCAGTGGTGCTTTTCTAGCCGTAACTACATTAAACGTTCATACCACAGTCACAGGGTAGAAAATCTTCAGAATGTAGTATCATCTCAACATAGACTAGGCTACTTAAAATTATACACACAGAAAAGAAATTGTTAGAACCAAGAATCAGAAAAAGGCAAGTCAGTTAGACTTACTTACCCAAGTACTTTGTGAGCTGATAACATGAGAGGTGTCTGCCCATTTAAATCTGTCATATTCACACTCTGTTCGAAAAGAAGAGTCAATCAGCCTAACTGTAAACACAGTCAAAATTCTCTCTTTAATAGAATTATCTCTTTAATAGAAGTATCTCTTTAATACATTCAACATCACCATTGCTTTTACAAGAAGCGTTCTGATATCATTTGAACAAAACAGTGTTCTGCTCCTCACCCAAAGGGTGAAAATCCATTGATTTCTACAAAATACTCATAAAGGAAAAATCTGAAAATACGCTTCAAAGTGTTGCATGATGTGAATGGAACAAAGCGAAGGGAAAGAGGAAAATGCTGACAACCACCATCAGATATAAGAGACCTTAGGAGTCATCTAGTTGAGACCTTACCTGACACAGTAATTCAAATTATCATGTCTTACACAAAGCCACCCAGTCTCCATGTAAACACTTCCAGTGACAATGAAACCTCTATCTTTTCTGAGGCAACTCATTGTAATTTTGGACTTATGTTTCAAAGACTAAAACATGAAAAGTTCTTTTCTATTTTTTATAATATGGGGGTGGGGGTGGGGAAGGAAACCATATCTCCATAAGGATATGCTCCTTTTAATAAAATGGGTCCGTGTTTGAGGTGCACAATAATGGTTCTAACCAAGTCAAGGAAAGAGTTTCAGTTACCGAAGTGTCTCTTGGGCCTTGGAGGAATACGACTTGGGAAAGAGCCCAAGGAGAAGCAAACAGGGCTCCTCCTCATACGTCTTCCCAAAATGAGACCCAGGAGGTTATAATTATTCTACTTCAGTGGGCTAAGTCTGAGAGAAAGTGCTTATTTAAAAGGAACACAATCATTCCAACAGCATTTGTGCAAACATGTTTCCACGCCTGTTATAGGCGAGTCTGCTGATACAGAAACCACTCTGCTACCAGAAAGCATATCCCAGGCAAGTATGGCTGACAGGGAGACTCCCACTGCCAATACCCTATAATTTAACCTGTGCCATAAATGGATGCCTCTTAAGGCAAGTCATTTTTCATGGAATTACTTTAGAGAACAATAAGAAGCACACATTCAAATTGGTCTCCTATTTGCACTCAAATAATGAAAGCAAATGATGGGTTCATTTAGTGATCTGACTACCATTTCTACATTCAACCAGAAGAAAAATACAGGCTTTTGAAGTCATGTTTTTGAAAAACTCTGCAAATTACTGGGATCATAAGAAAATCTATTATAGGCTTACAAGTTTCAAAAACATCTATTACATGTTACTGAGCTAAATGACCTGTCCTTTTTGCTCCAATGAAGCTGGAAAAGCAGCATTCAATACCTAGACTTACTGGGGCTAATATTTGAATATTTGATACCCATAACATACACTCTAAAACTGAGGGCAGACCTACTACTAATCATCCTCCCAATCTCTTCAGATTCACAGCAGCTGGAGTATAAGATATGTTTCTAAACATACCTGTCCTTTTGAGATGAGATATGCTATAATAGGCATGTGTTGAAATAATACTGCCAGGTGGATGCTGCTGAATCCCTCCCCATCGATGAGAGTGGGGTCGGCTCCATACTGGAGTAATAATATGACCATAGGCAAATGTCCTTGTCTGCAAATAGAGAGTAAAAATTACACCATTTTCTACAGCATGCAGTAAAAGAAAAAATTTCAGGAAGAAACTGGTATCCCTAAGACATGAGAGATTTGGGGGGCACCTGGGTGGCTCAGTCGGTTAAGTGCCCGACCTCAGTTCAGGTCACGAGCTCGTGGTTCGTGGGTTCGAGCCCCACATCGGGCTCTGTGCTGACAGCTCGGAGCCTGGAGCCTGCTTCAGATTCTGTGTCTCCCTGTCTGTCTGCCCCTCCCGTGCTTATTCATATTCTCTCTCTCGCTCTCTCTCTTTCAAAAATAAATAAATATTAAAAAAAAAAAACAAAAAACTTTACAACATGAGAGATTTTGGTTCGATACAAAGAGTATTTCTGAACAGACTTTCAAAACACTGGAGACTGTCCAAATGTATTTCACTTTGACACTCCAAACTTAGGGCTATCTGGACAGTCCTTCTTGAATGCAGGTAATACACTTAATAACCTTCCAATCTATTATCAAACCTTGTGTTGCTATAACGTATAAATAATACATGTATAATAATAATTATTATACATGACTAATGCTAAAAATAAAAACTTAAAAAAAATTTTTTTAACGTTTATTTATTTTTGAGAGAGACAGAGTGCGAGCAGGGGAGGGACAGAGAGAGAGGGAAACACAGAATCCGAAGCAGGCTGCAGGCTCCGAGCTGTCAGCACAGAGCCCAACTCAGGGCTCCAACTCACAAACCATGAGATCAGGACCTGAGCCAAAGTCAGACGCTTAATTGACTGAACCACCCAGGTGCCCCTGAAAATGAAAACTTCAAAACCATGTACACTTCACTGTTGTTATTTTAAAACCAAGAAATAATCATGAGAATTGAGGTATAACATTCAGATTGCAGGTACATACTATGATAATATTATTCTTAGGAACTACAGACTTCTACATTTGAATATGGCTCATTTTCCATGTAAAGCATTGCACCCCACTTGCTCAAAAGGGATGAGTTGGTTAACCTTAGATTCTTCAAAATTCTGGGCAGTGGGAAAAAGATTCCACTCCTGTCTTAAATAAACAAGTACTCATTTTAGTTCTAGGTTCACGTCAACCCCACCAACCAGAGACTGGAATTAAAATGACAGATGAAGAAGAGCGTCTGGTTGGCTCGGCTGGTTAAGCACTAGACTCGCGACTTCAGACTTCAGTTCAGGTAATGATCTTGTGTTTTTTGAGTTCGGGCCCGGCATGGGGCTTGGAACTGTAAGCGCCAATTCCATCTCTCCCTCTGCCCCTCCCCCAATCTCTCTCTCACAAAATAAATAAAACTTTAAAAAGAAATGACAGATGAAGAAACTGTTAAGTATCAAGACAGGCACATATTAATTTCAGCTTCAAATGGCCAATATATTCCAGAGAAAAACACTAAGTAAGTTTACAGTTCACTGACTTATCACTTTATCCATATGATCAGCTATAAAAGATACTTATTTTGATTATAAGAAAGTATAATACACATATTTCAGTTTTAGCATCATAGTGGGACCCTAAATTAAACAAAAAAAATATACTGTCCCAAAACTATAATTTTCTTTTTTTAATGAAAGGGAAAAAAGGGAAAGAAAGCCTTTCTTATGGCCCACAACAGCAGTTTCCCGATATGATAGTTACTAGGCACACTGGCTATTTAAATTCAAATTAGTTAAAATTAAATAAAATTAAAAATTCATTTCCTTAGTTGCATTAGCCACATTTCACATTTCCTATGTGGCTAGTAGCCACAATACTCGATGGCACAAAATAGAACATTTCCATCGTCACAGAAAGTTCTGCCAGAAAGTGCTAGTCTACAAGATTCAGAAAATGAACTTAAGTCACCGTGACTCTGAACAGCAATTTCAGTGTTCCAAGAAATCTTTACCTGATGGCCCAGTGAAGAGGTGTCGAATTTAAATCTCCACCCAACTGATCTACTACAGCACCTTTTGAAATATAAAACCTATTAAAAGCAGACATAAATGAAAATAAGATTTAAAACTTAAAATACATACTGAGAAAGAAAACATCAATTTTTCTTAGTGATAAATATACGACAACAGAAATTATAATAATGACCCTCCCCTGAAACACTCAGACCTACAGAAGTCTGAGATTCACACAAAGGCATCAAACAGATCCCTGGTGAAATAGTCTTAGCATATCAGTAATTACTCCTGCTGTCATAAGCTTTCCATCATAACTTACATACCAAACGCATGATAACTACTCTCACCATATATTCTAATTACCCAGCACTCTTAAAATGGTTTATATTCAAAACACTTAGGATCACACAGATATTCTACTTAACCCACAAGGAGAAAGGTGGAATAATGTCACTTGTAGAATTACTATGTGGAATTGAATTCTAAAAGTAAGTAGTAAAAACTTAATTCAAAATCCTTTCAGAAAAGTTAGATATTCTGAGTATTTGGCTTCCTATTTTGGGGTCGCAGAGCTGATACACTGTATCAAGTGAACCTATAAGATGAAGAGACTTATATTCTTCTGTGGTTTACAGGAAGTGGTCTCATTATGCTCAAGTTGTACTTCATACATCATATTATCTAAATAATATACTAGTTTATTTCCACAGAAAAGGTGTTTGCCTGTGACTGTAAAGTGTGGTTTTTTAAGTGTATTTTAAACTTTAGTACATTTTTATTTTCTTAAATCCCAAGGATTTTAAATATATATAATACAAAATACATACACATTCACATACACACATTTAATTTACATGCTAAGGTATAAAATAAAGAAACAAACAAAAACCACACAATGGGGAAGTAATGCTCTATGAAGGGGAAATATTTCATACAATCCAAACATGTCTACCTAAAAATGTATTCTATATTTAATCTAAAAAATGGTTAAATCATTCTCCTACCCATCCATACCTCCTGGGATTTTAACAAAGTAAAATATTTCCATGTTTTTTCTAAACTAGACGAAACTTTCTGTTCTATCCTGAGACAGTTTATGTTACGTTTTTCCTTTTCAAAAAATGTTCAGGGCACCTGGCTGGCTCAGTCAGTAAAGCATGCAACTCTTGATCTTGGGGTTGTGAGTTCAAGCCCCACGTGGGGCCTAGAGGCTACTTAGAAAAGAAAAAAACAAAAACAACAGTATTCCATTTCATTGCCTGAACTTTATCTTTACAATGGGTCCCATGGCTTTATCTTTAATTTTCCTTTTTGGGCCAGTGAGAGTCCTGAACTAGATGGGTCAATAAAGCCCTTTTCAACACAATAATAACCGATGCATGCAGCACAAAATTTCAGGTATTCATTCACAATAAAAGATTATAGATGGTACAGCATTCATACTTGTACTGAAAGAAAAAGACAACTGAAAAGAGGTCTAGAATAAAAAATACATACTTAATAACACACACACAGCCCATCTTACTTTACAAGATCCAGCCTGTTGTTAATAGCAGCCCAATGAAGAAGCGACACATTTTCTTTGTCTGGTTGCCTGACATCATATCCTGCTTCTACCAACTCTTTACAACGTTCAAAAATCCCGTACCTGAAATAAGAGGGGGGAAAAAAAGGCAGAATGATACCATTAAAATAATTTCAAATACCAAAATTTATTCCGTTTACCATGTCTTTAATCTCTCAGCCAACACAGATACAATAATTAACAAGGATAAAAATAAAGAGGATGTATTCTTAAGCCAAACAATAAAAAAGTAAACTTTATTTACTAACTCATCAGACAGATACACGTGGAGTTGAACTTGATTTTCTTAACTAAACTTCAACATTCACATTTGCCCTCCCCTCAATAAATTTCATTTTATCATTTCCTATATGCCAGGAATGTATGATGCTCGTCCCTAACTACAATCCTATCCCTGAATAAGAGAGACAGACTAACAGCAAACTTGGAATGGGATAAATTCAACAATACGATGTGGGCGTGGTGTAATTATAGCAAAGAAAGGAATGATTAGCCCTTCCTGAAGGAGATAAAGCATGATGTATAAGCTGTTTTACAGGCTGAAGGAAGGGCATTTCAGGCAGAGAAAAGAGCATGTATAAAAACCAGAGACGTGAAACTGCATGGATGTTCAGAGAAATATAAGCAATTTAGCACAGCAGAAACATAAAAGCATAACAAAAGGGAGTGGCAAGAGATCAGGCTAAAAGAGGCAAGCAAAGGCTGCATGGGCCTCTATGCCATGCTATGCAGCTTAAGACTTGATAGTTCGAAGGGAAGCTTCTGAAGATTTTAAAAAGGAAAGCATACCCACTCTGAGTTCTAAGAAAGATCCCATTTGTGGTGATATGGAGGCTAATCAGAAGAGCATGACTCTTGGGGCGCCTGGGTGGCGCAGTCGGTTAAGCGTCCGACTTCAGCCAGGTCACGATCTCGCGGTCCGTGAGTTCGAGCCCCGCGTCGGGCTCTGGGCTGATGGCTCAGAGCCTGGAGCCTGTTTCCGATTCTGTGTCTCCCTCTCTCTCTGCCCCTCCCCCGTTCATGCTCTGTCTCTCTCTATCCCAAAAATAAATAAACGTTGAAAAAAAAAAATTTAAAAAAAAAAAAAAAGAAGAGCATGACTCTTGTACATAAAAATAGGTGGGAGGTAATGAGAACCTGAACTAAGAGAGGCAGTAAGAATGGAAAAGGAGGAATGGACTTGAGGGATATTTAAGATGGTTATTTAAGTGACTATCAGAATAAAAAATATCTTTTGAATACTACAAAAATTTTTTAAATCATTCATTAGCTTTATTTCTTTCTAATAGAAACTATTAAGTCCCCAACAGACCATTTAGCACTTTGAGACTTATTTTTTATGTTTGTTTTTTTTTTTTTTTTAAGTTTATTTGAGAGAAAGAGCACACGTGCGTGCGTGCGAGTTGGGAAGGAGCAGAAAGAGAAGGAGAAGGAGAGAATCCCAAGCAGGCTCCATACTGTCAGCACAGAGCCCGACGTGGGGCTCGAACCTACGAACTGTGA